GGGGGGAGGGGGTACGCAGCCTTGAGCGGGATCTGTAGTGGAGGTAGACGGAGATGGAGTTGGCGGTACCGGTTAGGAAGGTACCGGTAGCGATATGATCATAAGAAGCGGAGTTTGAGGATGAGTTGGCTTTATATTTGGATCTAAAGACGTCCCTGATAGCGCCGTGGCCGGTCGTGCTGCCCTTCATACGAATGATGGACAACTACATACGATTAGGTATATCTTGCGCTGGGGTCGTTTTTGAGAGAAGAGGTGTCTCGGAACGCTTTTATATCACCTGAGCGAGTTGGCGGAGGGGGCAGGGCAGGTAATCGGGCCAGGCGAGACCGCTTCTGCACTCAGGAGACGTGTATGTATAACAACGAGCCAATCCAATCTCCACAACCCCAGAGCACGATTTCCCAGAATCCGAGAGCAGAGCTACTAAACACACGCATGACATCTCTGGCTCTAGCGGAGAGAGAGCGTGAATTTATCCTCGTAGGCGGGTTCTTGGCATGGTTTTCTAGGAGATCCTTTGACAACGATTGAGAATACTCGCTGTTGTGTTGGTTGATGGGACAGCAAGCGGTGATTCTGCGAGCTAATTTGTATTTTGAAATGTTCGAGGAGGAGATGCTTGAGTCGCTGCAAAATCTGCTTACGGGGTTGGGTATATAGCTAGAAGGGGCATGGAGGTAAGGATGTTTCTTGCTGACTGTGACGCATCGAGGTTTTGGCGACAGGAATACGGTGAGAGAGGTGGCTGGCTCAGTGTGCACAGCATCGGCTGGCTCTTGGAGCAATCAGGTGGAGATTTGTACGGCGTTTGTATGTATGTACGGCACCGGGGTTTCAAGGCTGATGCCCACGGATCAGTAATCGAAGCTGTTAAGAAGTCTGCAGGAAGATTCACTTATTTGCAGACCTCATCATTCTATTACGGCAGCATTAGTTTGATGTGAAAAGATAAAACAGTGTAGAATATATGCGCTGCGTTGAACACGCATTGCGGGGTATTCTTCTATTTCATCACTCACGATATGCATCCGCACCCAACAAAATACAAATGAAAACAGCCCTGGTAAACAAACCATGTTACGCAGTTGATAGCAAGTTACTTTTTCTTGCCCTTGCCTTTCGCTGGACCCATAGCAGCCTCTCTTCGCTTCGCCTCACGAGCTTCGATCTCTGCCTTCTTGCTCTTCTCAGCCTCCTCTCGTTCCTCTTTCTCGGCCTGGCGCTGTTAGCATGGTAGCAAGTGAGAGAATGGATTGTACATACCTGTTTCCGAGCGGCCTCAGCTTCTCTCTTCTCCCGAATCAGCCTAAGCCTAGCCATGTCCGCCTTTGCCTCATCCGTCTTGCCCGCCTCGTGCATCTTCTGGTATCTCTCCTTAGCCTGCTGTGCCTGCACCGCCTCCCGCTCTCTACGGCTCAACTCTGCAACTGGCTTGCCCTTGCCCTTGCCACCCACGCTCATCTCCTTGACGCCCTCAGCTGCCTCTTCTACGCTGACTGGTGCAGCACTGGCCTGCTTTCTCGAAGCCTTGGAGTGATTGGGGTTGGCAGGCATATCCTCGTCCTCGCTTTCCTCCTCAGAGCTGGTTGGCATGTCGCCCGGCTCCACGGTTTGACCCTTCTTCTTACGGATGGCAGCCTCTTTCTTGGCCTTTGCGGCTTGACGACGCTCCTCGCGAGTCATAGTTGGCTTCTCGGCATCTTCCTCCTCTGATGAAGACTCCTCCTCTGAGCTGGACTCTTCCTCGGATGACGATGCGTTGGGGTCTTTCTCTGCGATTTCGTTTCCGTCAGAGTCGAGGGGACGGAGGTTCTTGGAGAAGTGCTTGCCACCTAGAGATGTTCAGTAATTTGTATGTGTATATCAAGTGTTAGTAGAAGTACCTCCTCGTGTGAACTTCTTGAATTTGCCGCCTCGGCCACGGGCACCACCTGGGGGTCCTCCTGGCGCCATGATTGATGCGACGGAGGTTGAGTGGGATGTGTGTGAGGTACAGATCTTTGGCAAATTCTGTGAGGTTTCCCTTCCTCGTGGTATGATGTCGTGAATTGTGTTTGGGCCAGCGATGGTCGAGTCCAATCGAATGGGGGGTAATCTCTTCGTGCCAGTTTACCCCTCCAAGACGCACCCATTCTGGGTCAGGTCCCGCTAAGCTTCTTGCAAGCAAGCGTGGTCAGCTGACACTGGCGCTAAAAATTTGGTTTATTAACATTTCCGATCTCATACTCTTCTTCTCTCCTTACATAAAACACGATCCTTCATATTCACTCTGGCTTACGCCCACACCATGGCATGTCTTGGAGGGGAAAGTGGAGGAAAGAAGAGAATCTACCGTCATCATTATACACGGGCCTGTGGCATGCAAATGCGTTGGGTACGGAGATACAGATTAGACGGGACAGATCATTCATCCTGAGGATTCGGATTGGAGTTGGATTGAGGTAACACTCTGGGCAAGGGCAAGCTTTGGCTTTGCATTTCCCACAGGTAATTGGTCTGCCTGCTTGTCGCCATTCATGAAGTGATTGATTGATTGGCTTCGGCACTGCCAGCCTCCTGCCAGCCCTGCTTTGGGCCGGGAGATAAAGGAACGGTTCCAGTCAAAGAAATTCTGGTTCGATTCTTTGGTATCCAGTCCGCATTTCATGATGTCCGCTGCTCTGCATGAGCAACTTGATCTCTTTATCCGTACTGGTTCTTTCTGAGCGACATATCTTAAAAGAAGGGCGATAAGTTTCTATCCTAGAATTTTATATCTGACCAGCAATTCCAATCATTGCATCTACTATCATTCTACCATTCGACCGTTAAAGCATTACACATACACACATACACAGTTATACAGATTCACGACGCGCTGAAACCATGTCTTCTTGTGCTCATGGGTCCGGTTACATGTTCCTACCGCCAACACTTGAGTTTCTTGCAGAGAATTTCTGCTATATCGCTTCGGACCTAGACATCGACCGCAACCTTCTTAGATGTCGATTCTGCGATCTTGTCGAAACTTGGGCTCAGTGCGACATCGCTGATAATGAAGGCAAAGCCGCTATTACGGACCTTGAAGCAAAGATCATAGAGACCAAAAAATTGCTCACTTCAGGCAAAACCAAGGAGGATCTGACCAATATTCTCCCCACGTTGAAGAAGAAGCTCAGTGCGGTTGTCTGGGACACGGATATGAAGATTATAGATGCGTGGAGGCCATATTGGGCAGTCTGGGGACCTGGAGATGGCCCGGAACCACGGAACGAGATTGTCGAGGAGCCAGTTAAAGAGGATCTCGAGATCCACGATGATGAGGAAGATGAGGAGCACGAGGAGCACGACGATCATAATGATCCAGACTTTGAGATGGACTTCCTGTCAGAGAAGCAAGAGGAGGAATTTGAGGCCAAGCCTAAGAAGGTTGGCAAGAAAGGCAAAGGCAAGAAGCTCACTGCTCCTGGACCGAAACCGAGTGTCCCAAATGGTACGAAGAAGAGGTCGAGAGTTCCGGAGTCGAAGCCGAAGTAGTCTGGTCGGTAACTCTGGACCTCGGAGTGGGCTCTATGCTGCGGTAGTCTGCGTTTTTCCCTCCCAAATGTTTTTGTTTTTTCATCTCCAACTTGAGACTATAATATGCACTGCAAATGCCAGCACTCAAATGCTTTACCAATCTACCAAAGAGCAAACATCCAAGCTTGTGTGAGATAAATGCCCAGCATTTCCAAGAAATGTATCGCAATCACATGACTCTCCCCTTTAACAGCGAAATGAAGGATGAAGCCCAAGACTTCTTTCTCTACAACCTTCCAACTCTGCAACCCACATAAACACCATGGCGGGCTTTATACGAGGAAAGCAAGCCGGTATCCAGAATGATCTTTCTGTTGGCATTCTGCCAGAACTATTCGCTCCAGACGACCAGGCGCGATACGGAATAAACTCTCAGATCGGGTGAGCTGCTCCCTTCAGCCTTACGGACCCCGCGGAGATGAGACTCTACTAACAACCCCCACTCCCAGCTCCCTAGCTTACGACCCCGTACAATCTCTCCTAGCAATAGGCACGAACGAGTCAAAATTTGGCAGCGGTCAAATTTATATCTTCGGCCAAAAGCGCGTCCAAATTGTCTTCACGTTATCTCGCCGAGCCTCAGTCAAAACCTTGCAATTCTGCTCCGACCGTCTCATATCTCTAGACTCCAAGAACGAAGTCACAATATGGGACCTGGTACAACAGAAGAAGCTGGCGGGATATGCGCCGCCTGGAATCGTCACAGCGATGGTAACCGACCCTATGCTTGACTGGGCTTTGATCGGGCTGCAGAACGGGGAGATCATTGCGTACGATTTGGATAGGGAAAAGCTGGCGCCCTTCCGATTGCCGAACTTCTGGAGGGAGAGGAGTCCGAGGGCGAGACTGCTGAGTCTGGTGTCTATGCAGCTGCATCCGAGGGACATTGGACAGCTGTTGATTGGGTATACGGAAGGGGCGGTGATATACTCGTTCAAGCAGATGAAACCCATCAAGTACTTTCACTACGAGGTGCCTGTCGGAGCGCCAGGTGGAAATCCAGACCCTTTATCGCATGGCAAAGTACGGACACCGCAGCTGAACCAGGTCTTTTGGCATCCTACGGGCACCTTCATTGGCACTGCATACAATGATGAGAGTCTAGTGTTTTGGGACCCAAAAGATGGCCGTGTCTTGATGGCTAGAACTTTGACAGACTCTCATGTTAATGAGCCCGGTCAGCAGTCCAAGAGTTTTGGAAATACACCGGGCACATACGCCATCAAGGAGCCATTCGCGAAAATCGCTTGGTGCTGCAAAGCCAACCCAGATGATACTGGTCTTCTGATTGCTGGCGGCTTCCCCAATACTGTCCCAGAGAAGGGCATGTCATTCCTCGAACTAGGTCCTACTCCAATATACGCTACTTCGCCATGGTCAGTATTATCTGCTCACTTTGAAGCGAAGAAGACGCATCTACTGCCCACTCCCCCAGGAGCTGAGGTCATTGACTTCTGTCTGATTCCTCGGACATCACCTCATTTTGCCGGGGCTCAGGATCCTATCGCCGTTATCGCATTGTTGTCTTCGGGAGAGCTTGTCACGTTGACATTCCCAAGTGGATACCCCATATCACCTACCAATCAATTACATCCTTCCGTTTCCTTTGTCCATCCTTTCGTTACGACTATGGCTATGGCGCCGGTTGATCGCACACGCTGGTTGGGCATGATCGAGAATCGCCAGCAAGGCCCTCTCTTAGTACGTGGTGGTGCAGAAGGTACAAAGAACCTGCGAAGATATGAGTCTCGAAATATCCTGCAAATGGCACACGGCGACGGCACTGTCCGAATCTGGGACGCTGGTCACAACGATGAATTGGAAAACAGTGCTGTGCTACAAGTAGATATTGCCAGAGCCCTTGGTCCATGCGACGATGTCAATATCACTTCGCTGAGCATGGGAGCTAGTACTGGGGAGCTGGCTGTTGGTGTTGCGACTGGGGAGGTGGTTATCTATCGATGGGGAACCAACACATACTTTGGAAGGGAGGCACCACAATCTCCTCCGAATGTGCCTGGTGGTATCACAGATATTAGTTCTCGAGCAGAGTCTTCGCTGAAAGAAGGTTTGCAACCACTCGTGCTATACGACCTGGGCAAGGGCCCTATCTCAGTTGTAAAGATATCAGAGGTTGGCTTCGTAGCTATCGGCTCCGAGGGGGGATATCTGTCAATCATCGATCTCCGAGGACCAGCCGTTATCTTCAGCGCTGACATGGCCGAGTTCATCAAGTCGGACAAGCGTAGCAGTTTCTTGAAGAAAGGTAGTAGCCAAACATCATCCCAACCTGACCGGGCAGTGGTTATTGAATTCGGCGTCATGACCCTCGAAGGGGACAACTATTCTAGCATTGCGTGCTTTGTTGGCACAAATCTTGGAAAGGTCATCACACTCAAGATTCTACCGCAGTCTAATGGAAGTTACACTGCTCAATTTGCTGGACTTTCAAACCTGGCCGACAAAATCATTTCGCTCTCTGCCATCGTGGCCGAAACTGGAAAGCCCGCACCGGCCACTGGAGCTGCCGTCGGAGCATTGAGATCCGGTCAACAAACCCACGGCACACTTGTAGCTGGTAAGCTTGACATGACTTGCTCAAACTGTAAAATGATTAACACATCTTCAGTATCCCAAACAGAAGTCCGCATCTTCAAGCCAGCAACCGCCAAGGGCGCTCATAAAAGTTTTGACAACACCCTCTGCGACGCAGCCAATGTCGTCGACTTCGATGGCCGTGGCCACGCCCTCGTCGGTGTCTTCGGTGATGGTACCACAAAAGCATATTCCCTCCCAGCTCTCAAGGAAATCAACGCCGCCTCACTCCCCATGCTGGACAAGACCCGCACCACAAACTCTATCGTGTCCTCCTCTGGCGACATCTTCGGGTGGACAGGCCCATCAGAGATAGCCCTGCTCAGCGTCTGGGGCACCGGACATCCACTCCCAAGCTCCAATGACAAGATCTTCAACCCTGAAGCGTTGATCCCTGCGCGCCCCACCATCTCCAACATGCAATGGATCTCAGGAACGCAATACGTATCGCCCACAGACCTAGATCTCCTCATCGGAGGCCCCGAAAGGCCGCCGAGTAAGCGGATGATGGCTGCTGCTGCAGCGGAGGATAGAGCAGCCCGCCTGGGGAGCCCAGGGTCGAGCCGAGCGCCAGGAACTACTAGTACGGAGGGCTGGGGCGACTACATGACAAGACAACTGAATGAGAGGACGGAGAAGCTGAATATTCTCGGTGACACGACGGATAAAATGACGGAGAATAGTCAGGGGTGGGCGAACGATGTGAATAAGATGGTCTCGAAGCAGAAGCGGAATATGCTTCTGGGCGGGATCACTGGGAAGTGGTTCTAACTTCTCGAGATCGATTTAGGGTTGGGTACAGGCGCAATTTGGATTAGGGATGGGGGGCGATGGGGTTTGGCAGGGTTTGTTGCGATTATGAGAGATGACTTCGAGTACTGAAGCGAGCGCCCGAGCTCTTTCGGATATCAATGAAACATGGCGGATTCTTTGATATTCTTCATTATCCACATCTGTAGGAACGTTCATCCTTACCATTAATTACATTGACGGCCCCTACCTAAGGAAGTATGGAGCGTCGTGTCGCGTCGCGTCGCGTCATGGGAGATCAGATCAGGTAAAGTCAGGTCAGCAGCAAGCAGCAAAGCAGATTTTTCCAATGCAAATTTTTGTTTTCTTCCTTCCTTCCTTCCTTCCGTAAGTAAATGAAATTCCTTCCCTCTCCCCCCTTCCATTTCCCTTAACAGAACGGAAGATGAAAAGTATGAATCGAATGCGTGAATCGAGAGCTAAGAAGTAGGTAGTAGTAGTAGTGCGATCGATAATGCGGAAGATGAACTCACTCACTCAAGCACTTGAGCACTCACTCAAGTGTGCTGCGCTCTCCGTCGGGATCCTGCTGCATGCAGCTAGCTGCACGTGTTTGTTTGGTTTGTTTGGTTTGTTTGCTGCTTGAGGTGAAAATGAAAGTTTTGATCAAAAAAGAAGGGGAAAGGAAAGAACGGAAAGAAAAGAAAATGGAAAGAAAAGAAAGAAGGAAAGAAAAGAAAGAAGGAAAGAAAAAGATAAGCGTAATTGTTGGCTTGCTTAGCCGTCCACCCACCTGAGTACTGATCTAATCTGCTAATCTGCTAGCCAATCTGCCCACCTAAAGCTTCTCTCTCTTTCTCTATATATGCTATGCTATGCTGTTCATTCCGTTACGGATTGAGAAGGCTGGGCTGAGCTATGCTGGGCCGAGCTGGGCCGAGCTGACTTGATTTAAGCCGCTGAGAGGTCTACCTCCTTCCAACTTTCCGACGAGGGAATGGGGGGGTATATGATAGGTGCGAGGTACTGAAGAGATGATGTTGCGCATATACCGTCACGCCCCGATTCCGTTCTCTTTCCCCTCTCTTTCTCACGGCATGGAAAATCCAAAATCGAGGTCAAGCTTCAGCTCCAGCTCCAGCTTCAGGTTCAAAATTAATCAATGTAATCAATCCCTCTGATTCTGAATATCTACACAATGGTATTTTTTTTTTGTATTTCTTCTTCGACCCTACCCTAGCCTACGTTACCTACCTACCTACCTGCCCTATCCTACCCTACCCTACACGCCCAGCGCGAAAGCGAGCTAGAAGAAGAATATCGCCGCCACCTAGAAAGACCCAGCAGGGCTCAAGCATGCAGAGCCCGATTCTGCGGCCCGCATGTTACGTAGGGAGGGGCTTGTATTGGTAGTACCCGGTACCAGGGCTTTCAGCGCTTCCGCGGGCCAGACCCAGGCAGGAGGCCATGTTGAAGAAGATGTCGATGTTGCCGTACACGCCGCCGAAGAGCTCTTGGCAGGGGCCCATGGCGAATACGGGGACGTCGGTCAGGGAGTGGACGCCCTGCTCTTCGATTCTGTGGGGGGAATTTTGTTAGCATATATGCGATTAATTGTTTTCATTTTTCATTTTTCCTCTCCGGGGAGGGATGGCAAACGTACGTGCTGATGGTCCCGTTAACGACAAATCCGTCGGGGTTGTCAGTCGGGTTGACGTAGTAGTCATCGGGCATTCCGTCGAGGGTGGAGGCTGCCTGTCGAGGCCCGTCCTTGTGGACCTTGTAGTTCTCCCGGATATCGGGGTGAGCGGCAGGGCCGTGAGCCAGCGTGTATCGCGGTTCCCAGTTGACGGGGAAGTTGACGCCGGAGTTGTAGGAGACGCTGGCGTTCGTGACGGTGTACTGGGAGAGTCCCGAGCGTTGGTAGGTACCAATAGCTTTGCGCTTCTCGCGGTCGCTCTCCTTGGAGCTGAGGTACGTCGTATCGGCGGAGCCGAAAACGTCGAAGCCGTGGCCGTGGTCGGCAGTGACAATTACCAAGGTATTCTCGAGTTCGCCGAGAGCTTTCAGCTTCTCGATCGTGGCCTTGACGGTGTCATCCAGCTCCAAGAGATCGCCGAGGGCACGATCGTAGTCCAGAGCGTGCATCTGCTTGTCGATCGAGGCCGCCTCGGACATCATGAAGAACCCCTTGTCGCCACCTCGCTTGTGGAGGATGTCGATAGCCTTGAGCGTCATGTCTTTGAGCCCGGGTAGATCAAGAGCTGGCTCCTTGTTGCCAGATGGGTCGTTGGTGTTCTTCTTCAAGTTGGCAGTGTAGACGTTTCGATCCAACCAGACTGGCAGATTGTTAGTGCTGAAGACGCCCAGAGCTTTGGTGTCGTTTCCCAGGGCTTCGAGGCTAGTCTTGTTCATGGAAACTGCATATCCCTCGCTCTTGAACTCCTCATAGTAGTCTTTGCCCTGGTAAGAACCGCTTCCAGCAATAAATTGACCGGCACCGGCACCAAAGAACACATCAGCTCCAGTGTATTTGGTCCAAGTGTAGTTCCGCACTCCGCGAAGAGATTGTTCGATCAAAGAACCGTACTCGGAACGCGTCCTGCTATGTCCCGTGAGGGCAGTTGGGGTAGCATCAGCAAGGAAAGCTGTGCTGACAACGCCAATGGCACTTCCCCAAATGCGACTGAGCAGCTCAACAATTGTCTCGACCTTGGGGTCATCGAACGGATCAGCGCTGGAGTCCCCGTAGACTCCCAGGGCGTTCACACTAGACTTGTGGCCAGAGTAGAGAGCCGAGGCAGAGTTGGCGGAATCGGTTATGTAGCTGTCCAAGGAATGGGTCTATGCAAATTAGGCGAATTGCTCCCACGCCAAGGTTCAAGTCTCACCATCTGATGTCCCAGCACGGGGAACTTGTCCATCTGCATAGTGGACTGGTATTTTCCGTTGATACTCTTGTGGCCGATCAATCGAGCAGCAGTGATCTAGAAGGACACGAAGGAGTCAGTATTTGCCTGTGTAGGAAGTTTTGAGGAGAAGGATAGGCGAGGGTTGAGAGGCATTGTCGCCGCTACCTACCATGTTCGTAGTCATCCCGTCACCTGGACGGCGTTAGCTAATGATCACCTTCCCAGAATCCCATTGAACTTACCAATGAAGAGAATGACATTCTTGGCCCGCTTCTGCTCCTGGAGAGGGCGGACGAGCCAATTGGCGATAGTCTGGGTGCCATTGTAGTAGTCGAGAGTTACCACATATTCTCCAGGCTCGTAGAGAGCAACTCGTCGGTAAGCCTTGGAGGTAACGCGAACCAAAGAGGGAGTCTTGGCGTCTAGAGCAAACAAGTCCTCATACCAGGTGAAGTTCCACCGCTCCAGAGCCGGCTCGGCGATGTCGAAGAAGCTGGTCACAGCTTTTGCTGGTCCGCCAGCTTTGGCAATCGTCAAGCTGAAGTCTGGGTCTGGGATGCCTCCGTTCGCTTCTGATCCATTGACAGGCGCGTGAACCTAGCCAAGCGTCAGAAACAGAAAGTTCTCCACGTATAAGTATAGATGAGCCAGTTGGTGTCGACTGCCCACTGCACACCAACCTCGACACGGATATCAAAGTACTGCCCAGCCAGGAAATCAGTCTGATCGGGGGGAAGAACGCAACCTAGAGCTGTGGTGGGAGTCAGCAAGGGGAGATGGGAGTAGAATTTGCTTGCTCAGTTATGTGCAGTAAGTAAGTAGGTAGTACTTACTGGGACATGCTCCGAGGCGTTGGAACGTTTGTGCAGATGTCCAAGCGACCGACGATGCTGCCAGCGCGCACCTGAATACCGAGACGGAGAACGAAACCATGATGAGATGAACGAGTGTGGATGGGAGAGACTCCTGCAGACATAATGGATAGTCAAGATCACCCAGGTTCTATATGCATGAGGCCGTTGGGCCTCGGCCGCTATCGCCATGAAGCCGATAGATAGGAAACCGATAGATAGGAAGCCCGATAGATAGTGGGATGTGCTGCAGCCAGTATCATGGATGTTAAGAAATTAATGAGGGTCCCGGCGAAATGTCAATTGACTTGTCTAACGTCTTGCAGACGGTGGACAGGAGTCCCCGTTCCTGTTTGTTTCTACAAATAGAGGCGGCATGAGATGAATAGGATGAACCGGATGAAGAAGAAGGATGAAAAACTGAGAAGGATGGAAGCTGGGAAGGATGAAAAACTGAGAAGGATGAAAAGCTGAGAAGGATGAATCAACGGGCAGGGATCGTGGCGCGTTTTCCACCAAAACGACTTGGCGGCTTCTCCGCCATTGCAGCCCTACATAAACATCCATACCGATTTGTATAGTTGTACTGCTACCTATACGGATTAAGTTGTAACGGTACTATCCGTACGGATTCTCCCTGCATGCCAATACCTGGTCTGTACGTAGAGCAAAGTGAAAGCTTCTGCAAGCGAAGGCGAGCCCGGGTCCTGGCTCACTGCGTCCGAGCGTGGTAAGGAAGTCTGGGCTCTGCCCTGATACCATTCACTACAATGCTGGCAGCACGTACTACGTATGAATGATGTGATTTACGTACCGGTATGTTCAGTTGACGCAAATGGCCAGCAGCTTACGTATTTCAAGCAAGCTTGGAAATGCTCTTATTTGCAGGCGTATAATACAAATTACTTGTATTTCTTTTCTCTTCTGCGTGGCTACTAACTATCTTTGTAGCTACCTCCTTCCTTTCTCCTTTCTCCTTCCTCCTCCCTCTCTCTCTTTTCTTCCTTCTCCTCCCTCTTCTCCCTCCTCTTTCTTCTTCTCTCGTCTCTCCCTCCCTTTTCTCCCTCTTGTTCCTCTTTTCTCCTTCTTCTCTCTTCTCCGTAGCTACTAGCTACTTTTGTAGCTATCTCCTTCCTTCCTCCTTCCTCCTTCCTCCCTACTCCTTCCTCCTTCCTCTCTCTCTTTTCTTCCTTCTCCTCTCTTCCTCCTCTCCTTTGTCTTTTTCTTCTCCCCCTCCCTTTTCTCCCCTCTTCTTCCTCGTTTCTTTGATTTCTAGCAATGCTACAAATATCACATACGAAATAGTTTAAGGTACGGGAACCTGGAGTGGCGATATTTGGAAAGCCCTGAGCGAGAACGTCAGAAATAATAAGCGTTTAAAAGCGCTAGCCATTAGTGCGATCGATCGATCGATCGATTTACTACGTAGTAGTAGTATGTCCCCTTTATTTACTATAGCTTGGGTCTCTCGACGCGCCGCAATCTCTTGTGTAGTCTCTTGGCTCATTCTTAGCGGAGCGTCTGAGTTGAAAGGAAGGGCGGGAGCCAAAGATCTCCGACGAGGATAGCATGCATAGACCCCGTTACGCGTATTCAATCTCTTATAAGGACATGTAACCTATGAATGCTAGCTTAAAGGCCTTTGCAGTATCACTACAACTTTGCTGGAGCGAAATGATCCTATTGCTGGCTTTGGACGTGAAGGGCGCGGCCTAGCCTTACAAAGGTGGCATTTAGTACATTCTTACTCGATCGTTCCATCCAAGGCTTCTGGGGTTTTCGAAAGCATGGCGTCCACTACTGGTACTTAAGAGGAGCAAAAATACGCTGATAAAAGGGGAAGGTCTTTCAAGGTGGTGAAAAGTCAATTCGTATTTAATTTATCAATTAGTAGTAAACGAATACCTAGAAGTATAATAGTCGACGCGATTAATAGATAAGGTTACGATGCGTAATTGTGATCCGAGGGCAATAAGCGGGGTAGTACTTGGTACATGCCCGAAATACTGTAATGTACAAACGCTGTCTGAGCCCAATTCTAGAGGTTTCCGTTGATAGGGCTCTTGTGCAAGGGGTACTACCAATGATATAACGATAACAATTCAAGCAGCATTGTTAAGTATCTAGTGTGCACAGACTAGAATTGTACGTAGTACGTAGTACATTATTTACCCCAAGTACTACGTCGCAGGCGTAAGTATTACCCCTCGAGGGTAGGGAAAACAGGGGGTTTAAAGTGGAAACTAAACTTTTAAGGCACCCTCGAGGGGTAATACTTAGGCCTGTACCGTGGTACGAAGTAAATACTCCGTTCGTAGTCACGGGCCAGAGTCTGCTGTACGGAGAATTAGGATTCTGCCTCTAGTCACCACGAGCACTTTTTTTTGGGCTAATCAATTGCTTTCGATTGAAAAGGTTAAATGCGATATTCATTTCAACTTGCATTCACCTTAAGAGAGGAAGGGACATCCTTACGGTAAACCAAAGCTCCTAAGCTCGCTTGGAGGTAAACCAAAGTTCCTAAGCTCGCTTGGAGAAATAAAGTCATCAAAGAGAATTTGGGAGATGCTGTCGAGGAGATACTACGTAGTAGTAATTGTAACAACTACTACGTCAACTACTACGTAGTTATAAAATCCATTTCATTACTCACCGAGCCAGCAATGGTTGGCGAACTGCAGAAGCCCTGGTAGAAATTAGGTTCTGGCTTAATCGTCGGCTCGCTTAAGTGGGCCTCTTTTCATCCTTTCCTTTCAGTCTTAGTCGGTAAAAGCGATTGCGGCTTTCTGCATTACTACTAGTACTTTATCGACTGTACTCCCAACACAGAGTTCTAGTAAACTCTCCTTGTATTGAGCGTGTACTACCCACAGCAAGTTCAGCACAAGGGCTCCGGCTGCCTCTTATCACGGCTCACCGCTACTCGACATTTCGATCGCGGGGTTACCATGCTCGGTTATATAGTTTTTTACATGTGTGCACAGTCCAAAGATCTTCTGTAATCCTTCGAACTATTTCGAAACTTAAATTCCTTATCAAAATACTAGTATAAAAATTTCAAATACGCCTTGGGCCATCTACGGAGGTACAGCGGTTATACGTAGTAGTAGTATAATCCCCCATGTTCTAATCCTCTATGGAAACTAGCTTAATCGGACTATACTCTCAAGGTCTCGGCTTCGTATCGCTCAGCTCGACGATAGGTAAGATCGTAAAGGTATAGCCCGGTTAAGCTAGTCGCTATAGTGGATCAGAACATGGGGGATTATATTAAGTACGTACGTAGTAGTACTACTACGTACTTGCGTAGTATAACCGCTGTACCTCCTTAAGCTCCGTGCAATTTTATTAGCTTCGATTAAAGCAATCATTGCAGAGCATTAAATTGCATGCAAGGCAAATTTTTCGCAATTTACTAGTACGTATTCACCTCTCTTTTTGGCTTCCCTTGAACTTGTACCAATAACAACTTTCGGTATGCCTTTTACTAGCAAAGTTTACCAGAAGAAGAAGATGCACTACTAAGTACTGTAGTACGTACTACGTAAAGCTTTGCGGCGATAATATCAGTTCGTGGCTGAAGAAGGATATATAGCCTTTGATTATTAGGACTCTCCTACGGCGATAAGTACTACAGTACTGAGCAAAATGTAGTCAATTACAGCTTGCACAAATAGCATTTGCTTATTCTTCCAGATAGTGATTCCTTATGCTTCTCTATGCCATCGCTATACAGCACCAAGTAAGCGTTAATAAGAGACTGGTCGAGAAAGAAGAAAGCTTATGGCTGCCAAGACTTTAAACCAATAAGCTGAGTGACGAGGTCATCGCGGGATTGATCAGCTGTATCGCAAGAATTCATTACAAGCTATCTCCTTCTCCATTCGAAGTATAAAGTGATTCTGTAAAGCAGTGGTTGTGATTCTATTATAGTCATATGCTACGGATTCTACGCGTAAGGACGCGTTGGATTGACGTTGGGTAACTCACGCTTTAGTGGCTTTGCGCACGGACGTGGTAGGAATACAGCCGACCGGATATTAGAAATAAGTAAACAATGAATGGAGCTATAATATTTAATTTCAATACTCAAAGAGAGCATATTTACGTCGATTGATGCATCCAAATTTTAATATCATAGCTCTTTTCGTTATTAACTTATTCAATTGATACGTAGTGAAAAAAACAATACAGTTTTCGATTTTAGAAAGAAAAGTCTATGTTTTTGAATATCAATCGTGTTTTTTTAAAATAAAAAATTGACATTTCAAAAGAGCTTAACTACGCGGACTCGTGCATCTAATTTTCATTACAATAGCTCCATTCATTCTTGACGTATTCTTAAAACAATTCGCGATCTTCGATAGAAATTCAATAACATTGATTTTCTTTCACAATTTGCGATTCAAATAACTTCATAACGAAGAGAGCCATACTATCAAAACTTAGATGCATCACTCGACGTAATTAAGCTCTTTCCAGGTATCAAAGAACTAATATTACAGCTCTATCCGTTACTTTATTATTCCTAATGTAATACAGAAATCCGCATTTGCTTCCGATCCGTAATCGCTTCTACCGACGGAAAGGATGAAAGGAGGCCCATCTAAGCGAGCCGACGATTACAGTTCTTTCATCTAAACTAGTGACTCTCATCCCATATTCCGGTAAGTACTACTAGGTATCAATCTGTTACTATCTCTTGTCTACTTTTATAGATAATCCATAAGTTCATATCTCTTCAGTCTTCAGTCCTGCTGCAGTTAGCCGACGGATTAAACTTATCGATCCTCTCAATCATTGCTTCATCTACGGAGAGTCAAGCATTGCCAACACACATGCACGTTCTTTCCAGCTATCCTCTAACATAGCTCAGCAGACATTCTCACCGAGCACCGCCCGAAGAGAAGGGATACCTACTACTTCCCACATCGATCCTCCCCTTTTTGCCATCTCGCTTAATTAGTCCATGCGCTAAGATATCGCCGGCCCGGCTGCTGGCTGCCCGGGATATTCTCCAAGCTCAAGCTCTTGCACACAAACTTGAGAGCTCTGCGGGAGTATCTCAACCTCTCAAAGCCACCTGTTTCGAACAGGTTAAGCTAGGATTTGCAACAAGTGCATAGTTCCTCATCTCGATTTACCTCAAGACTGGATCTCCCCACAAAAAGATTTATTGCTGGTTTAATAAAGATGTGAGTAGTCTGTTGCAAATACTGTCTGAATCGACATCGAAAGGCGATCCCTCTCTCGATATGGTCCTAAATGGAAGATCCAAACGCAAGTTCAATCAGGCGCCAGTGCTGATGGCTGGCTGTGCTGCGTGCGGTAGGTTGTAGCTGTCCAGTAGTCGGCCGCAGCTTGATTGACTAAGTGCAGACGACGCCCATGTATGTATGAATTTCGAAGATGCATTTGCTTCTTTCTCGCTGAGCATGCTACGCAGCGTCTTACGAGTACATGATGGATCCGCCAAGTGGCACGGACTATTTTGAAGGCCAGCCACCGACCCTTCCCAGGATGCTACAGCCCGGGTCAGAGAGCGACGACGATATAACTTCAGCGCGTAGCTCCGACGCTCTGTCCGATTCTGGATCTGCATCCGAGTCTGATGCCGGATCGGAGGACGAGGAGCAAGACCTGATCGAAAAGCTGGTTGAAAGCGCCGGAAGCGAAATCTTCGAACTCGTCAACGAGATCGACTCCGCCATCTGCCCACCCTGCATCAACATCATCAGCGCATTCTCTAATGGTTCCGTGCCGATTATGACCCGCGAGAAGCGATCCGAGTCTTCGCTTCTCCATCACAAGACCGTAAAAGGGCTGGTCGAGTGCAGCACGACTTGCGGGATATGCGCGTTGATCCTGCATGTGTTGGACCTCAGCGGCGCGCAGTTTGACACGCTGAGAAAGCCTTTGACCGCTGCTGAGCGAGAATTGTCTCGACTCCGATGGAGGGATCGCGATATTGTTACAGAGTCCTTGGCGAAATCGGAGAAGTTCTATTGGAAGCGGGAGCTGTGGAGAGTGCTTACGAATTCCATCAAGCCGTGTTTGAGAAAACACGAGGGGGAACTGGTATCATCGACGACTATGGCTTCGGGAAAGATGCTATAATCAATGCATCCGGCGCCCGAGAGAATATGCTGGCAAAATGGGCAGCCGGGCTGTATGCGCAGAAACCAGCTACGCAGCGGAGGGTTTGAGGGATCGAGTGACCTTGGGGAAATACGCTTACAGGCTGAAGGAAGTCTACGGATATAGAGACTAGGCCGTGGATTTACAGGTCATCTGGCACAAAGAGATGCTCTGCTCGTGTATTTGCTCCCAAAGGTCGGAAAATATTCCTCCTCACTTGATAGTGCCTAGCTGATTGTATATATGCTAGCCAATTTCCAGCCAGAACTTGGGCAGGCCTGTTCAATCTAGTGCCAACTCGACGGACACACTGTCACTCATGAGCCGTTTTCCGATTGTGTTCGCAACCATCCTGAGTGTGCAGGCTCTTCTATATCGCCTAGTATGAATTACGTTCTTCCAACAAGGGTCGTTGGTGTTGGTCTGACCACCGATTCTACCCCCAAATTTTTTACGACGGTCCCCAAGCGCGGTAGGACCTTGAACTACAAGTGGGGCCAGGTCGATTTAGTTAGGACCGTAGTGGATAATTTTGCAGAATTACAGCATGGAATCGAGTTTTCGGCCTTACCAGCAACATTCCCAGATGCCATCACTATAAATCAGCACCTTGGCCTGCGTTATCTCTGGATCGACTCATTATGCATCATACAGAACTCACCTGAAGACTGGCTGAAGGGCGCGGCCAGCATGCCGAACATATATCGAAACTCTTATATCACCATCGCTGCAGCGACTACCGAAAATTGCAACGGGGGTATATTTGTCGAGAGGGCATGTGTTCCCAATTCCAGGCCCGCGATACTACCTGTACAAGTCGCATCACAGGAGAGCCATTTTCCGATTCGTTTCGATGTTCCATTTGGTAAAGACATGACGAGCAAAGAGACGGATTCTCTCCAGTCCCGGGCTTGGTGCATCCAAGAATCGCTGCTCAGTCACTGTCTTTTGCAATTTGACGCACTTCAAATGTCACACACTTGCCTGCGACATGGCTTGGTGGAATTAGAGAGATGCAACCGGTTCTTGCTCGGGAGGAAAGAAACACTTTCTTGGCACATTCTGAATATCGCAAGCACGGTCTCTCTATCGGAGACTCTGCGATGGTCCATAGGATGATAATCAGTTGGTATGATATCTTGTATAACTACACGCGTCGAGATCTCACCTTCCCAAGCGAAAAACTTGTCGCGATCGCCGGTATCGCGAATATCGTTGGAAGACGTATCCACGGTAGCTACTTTGCTGGACTGTGGGAAAACGACATGCCTCGTGCCCTTCTCTGGTCTCCATACGAAGAAGAGACTCTCCCTCATAGATGTGAGCTTGACGGATCCAGCTGTCGACCCACAATCCCTCAGCCTTACAGCTCTCTATCGGCTCTGGGTCTTGGCTTAGACCAAGATGGGAGGAGCAAGCAGTGGCGCTACTGCACGCAAACTGACGAGAATTTAAGGCAATGAGACGCAAAGCGACGGTCTAGATCGTGGCCTTGCATGCAAGATAATCTCGCGGTGAATTCGCTTTGGCATGTGGAGGATTGCTTGCCTTTCCAATCTTGCTTGGAGTTCGAAACCCATCCTAAAGATCAGGTCAGGTCATGACATTGCAATAATATTCAGCCTCAAGCCAGCTGTTACAAGCTCAATTGACCTCTGCTGGTAGATCACTATTTCCATATGATTATAGAGAAAACCAGCTCCAGCCTCTAAGTGTGTTTAAAATTCCGGGGGAAAGCCTAGCCGAGACTATCTATTGTGTACCACCTGCCTCTACGGACAGACATACTTGCATCGCTCCTGGGACTCATCGGAAAAAGAACAAAAGACGATTTTGAATTCCAGATCAAGGGAACGAGCCCTGCCCGTCGCGATGTTCCCTCGTGGGTCTCGAAGGTCGTATCAGTCCACTTTTGCCAGTGGACCGTCCGGCTCCCAGTGAGAACCCTGTGTAGCGAGCGGCGAGCCACATATGATATGTTTCTCCCACGGGACAAAAACCTTTATTTAGGATCCCCCGAGTCACACAGCATTATCATTATGTGTCTGTCTGTCCGGACTCTGGACCGCCTAGCTGCTACTTGCTTCACTTGGGGAAGTGGTTCCCGTATCTGCATCCAATCCGGCATGAGTATTTTCTCGGTACTCGGACCTATATAGGTACCCAGGTGCGTCGAGAGATCTGCAGATCAGACTCATATCTAGTACCACGCCGATACGGTCCAGTCACCTGGGTATCTGTTCCGATGTGGTGTGATAGGCCGCGGCGAGACAGACGTACATACCGCGCGCTGATACTGCTGCAAATCATCCTTGGCAAATATCAGTATCGGGACTCCCCAGGAAAACTGAAAAGCCCGTAGCGCCCAGATCAAAGCTTGTCTGTGTGGAGCTCATCGAGATTTTAGCTATCACGTAACTCATTTCTGCCTTTTTCATTATGGACACGGCAACAGACATCGCGCGCATGGGCAAAGTCTCGGATAAGACTGTCGACAAGTCGGCTACGACGAGCTCCGTCGAATCGGCCGAAGCCCAGGGCTTCGACCTGAAAGCCACGAAGAAACTGGTGCGAAAGATAGACTGGCACCTCATCCCCTTCTTGTCCTTGATCTACCTGTACGTCGGGCCACGATAGTGACATCTGGGGGCTTCAAAGAAAAAGACTAATACGAGAACTTCTAACCAAGACTCTGCTTCCTGGACCGCACCAACATCGGGAATGCGAGACTCGACCACCTGGAACAGGACCTCCATCTGCAGGGGATCCAGTACAATGACTGCCTCGCCATCCTGTTCCCCTTCTACATCGCCGCGGAGATCCCCAGCAATATCATGATGAAGAAGCTGCGGCCCAGCATCTGGCTGACCTTTATCATGCTTTTCTGGTCCGTCGCAATGATCTGCCAGGGCTTCGTGAAGGACTATTCCGGTCTGATGGCGACGAGAGTGTTCCTGGGCATATTCGAGGGCGGGCTCTTCCCCGGCGTCAACTACTACATCACGAACTGGTACCCGCGGCACGAGTGCGGCTTCCGCATGGCTCTGTTCTTCTCGGCCGCGACACTGGCGGGCGCCTTCGGAGGGATCCTGGCCAGAGGCATCTCGGAGATGGACGGTGTCGGTGGAGTTGCTGCATGGGCATGGATCTTCATCCTCGAAGGCCTTCTCAGTATCCTCGTCTCGTTCTCGGCCTACTGGGCGATCAACGACTATCCGGCTACGTGCGATTCCGGTATTCCCGTCGCTTGGACATGGCTAACGCGACCCAGAGCTAAGTTCCTCAGCACCGAGGAGCGTGCAGAGGTTGAACGTCGCATCGCCGCCGACCATGGGAACCTCTCGAATCACTTCGCGTACAAATATGTGTTTCAAGCCATCAAAGATTGGAAGATATATAGTGAGTACGGCTCCATGGCTGTCTCTTATCCGAGAGGGAGACCTCCGGCTCAACCCCGCTATCCTCTGGAAGAACCGTTGAGACTCATTCTAACTTCTCGCACAGTTGTAAGGACACTCGGCGCAGCCGCCCGTTTCCCTCTACCCAGTGTTTCAGGAGTAGAGACTTTCTCCTGAGGCTACTCTGGAGACACTCAAAGGGAACGAAAATTTGCTGACCACAGGAGCATCCAGCACATGCTCATCTGCATGTCGGGCTTCTGTCCCATCTACTCCTTCGCCCTGTTCCTGCCGACCATCATCAAGCACATGGGATACACCAACAACCAAGCCCAGCTGATGAGCGTACCCCCCTACGTGATCGCCTGCTTCTTCACCATCGTGGCGAGCTGGCTCGCCGACCGCGTCAAGCAGCGCGGCGTGTTCATGCTGGGCTTCCAGCTCGTCGCCATCAGCGGGTTCGCGCTGCTGGCGGGATCCGTCCAGCCCCGGATCCAGTACGCGGGGACCGTCCTGGCCGCCATCGGTAAGTCCACCGTCCACACCCCACCGGCAAGCTAGCATATTCCGTGGTCTCCTGTCCCGCGGGCGGCTCACAGCGTCCCCCTCCAGGCATCTACCCCCAGATCCCCCTCGGCCTGGCCTGGAACGGGAACAACATCGGTGGCAGCCTGAAGCGAGGCACGGGCATCGCCATGCAGGTCATGGGCGGCAACTGCGGAGGCATCATCGCCTCTTACGTCTACCTCACGCGCGATTCACCACGGCACGTATCGACGAACCGCTCATCTCTTTTCTCTCCT